GTTCCCTGAAATGCTGACATCACCATCCACTCCTTTGAGGTTTTAGAGTAATTTTACTAGTAATAGAGAATGTGATATTTAAAAAGTGAACATTCAATACATAGAACTTGTCACTCTTGGAAGTGCTGTGGCTGAAAATAGAAGCTAGACTGCAGATCTGACTTATCCAGAGAATTCTGAGTCTGGGAGAGTACTGTTAAGTCTGAGAGTGTTTCCATGAAAGGAGACCAACCGCTGCTCGGACCTCTCAGCATCTGGGTCAGAGGCCCTGGGTCTGGCCCAGCAAGGCAGAAGTTCTACAGATGGTAAGTCCTTCCCCCTCAGCACCTGCTCCCTGGCAAGAATGAAGCCACAGGACAGCTTCACAAGCGCCTATTGAGAAGTGACAGTTACAAGGACGCACTGGTATCACTACATGATATGACTACGGAATTCTCCTAAAGTCTTCTGGTAAGGGAGATGTTGAGACACACATGAAAGCAAAACACAACAAACAGAAAACTAAGCCTAAATGAAGGCTGAAGAACCATTAGAGAGGAATAAAACTTCTTGCTAGACTAGGTTGTCAAAATTAAATGAAGAAAAAGGGTGCCCATTGCCCATTTTGCCCTTGGAGCCTCTGAGAGCAGGTGCCAATGGCTAATCAGTCTGCGTCAGTTTAACTAACATTTTAGTCAGGAGACTTAGGTGAGTCTATAGCACTGCAACAATGGGCAAAGAAATTAGATGTGGAATTTTGAGGCAGAATTCAGATTTTCTAAGTTTGATGTTAAATAAAAACATACTCCCTTTGTTCTGAATTTGAATTTAGGGTAGTAAAGATCTGTTCTCTTTTCAGGAAAATAAATCATGTCAAGGACATCAGTGCTAAAGTGAGTGGTAGGAAGGTACTGTTCCTTTAGTACCTTGGTTATCACATTAAATCCATGAGTTACCACCTTGATTGTATTTTAGAATGTACTTTAAAAATAACCCAGACTGTATTCCCTTTTTTGTTTAGTTTTGTCAGAGAAGGGTATTCCATTGTCATTTAAATATTGTAGGTGCATGAATTCAGTAAAATATTCCAATATAGTCCAGTAGTCCATAATAGTAGTGGGTTTTCCATAGGACTGGCAATGTCAGAAGTTGTTGACTTGAGGCTTTTACAGCTCAGCATAATAGGGTAGATATACAGCTACTTTCTCTTAATTCAATGAATAGAAAGATTTGCTCTAATAGTGTTTGTGGACAGAATATCATGTCCACCTCTTGTACTATGAATAACCACTAAGACAACAATATGCAATGTATTAATTATTGAAACTGTCCTACTAATCAGTTTGAAACTGTCTCATTGCTATTTCTCAACTAAATTATTAAAAAAATAAAAAATAAAAATAAGCCAGACTGAAGCTTATTTCTTGGTCACTTAAATCATCATCTTCACATTTTCTTTAAAAAGTCACTATCAACAATTGCTGATCTATTCTGAGACTTTGAGATAACCAAACTGACTTTCTCCGTATCTACTCTAGAGTTCCCTCCATTAGATAAACCTAACGAACACAAGAGAATGAGCCAGCAGCAGGTCTGTAAAGGGGAAGAAGCCAAGTCCACACTGCTTTCTCACCGCCTGTTCACACCACACTTATCTCAGTCTGGTGCTGACTTAGGACAAGACGAGGCTTCCTGGAGGTGTGGGGATCCTGCCTAGGCACAAGAACTGTGAAGCTATGTCCTGGCACTCCTCAGGACGGGGTGGAGGACAGATCGCGCAAGGGCCTTTGGTCCTGACAGTGTCTTCTCAAGTGCTTCCACTGTCTCCTATGTGATTCATCACACAGCAAACCAGCAGCAGAAACGTCACATGTTGGAATTCAGCACTGGATTTTTTCTTTCTCCACAAAATACAATTAAAATCATCTTACCAAAAAACTATATATTTCCTGCTGAAAGAGAAATACCAATCCAATTTTAGAAAACTATGTTGAATGGAAACCAAAAAGCACATCTTTTGTTCCTATCATGCTCGTTAAGCTGTCAGTTCTATCTTGGATCTGGCTTATGGGTAACTTAGATGGTGACCATCATACCCTATAACACTAAGTGCTAGTTTTCAAATGGAAACTCAAACCAATTCCCTTTCTTTTGTGCTTCCTTATGAAGCCTATTTTCATTGTTGTTGTAGTCTATTGTGTTTAGTGAAAAACTTCTCATGAGCCAGAATTTGGAAGTGGCTGTTTATAGCTGTTTTACAAAAGTCACAGCCAATGATTAGGAACAGAAATGAAATTGGTTATAACTGAATTGGTAACATTTTCAAAACGGATTCACCTCATCAGTGATATGTTTTAATTCTAATTTGCATTCTTACTTTCTGTAACATTTTGTAAATAAACTCCTTCTGACATTTCCTATTTCAAAATCAAAGCAGGGGAACCAGCATCTTATTGTAGAAGCCTCTGGAATCAATTTGGTGAACTTTTCAGTATATTTGTCCCTTAATATTCATAAGACACTGGTTACAGGACCACTGAGGATACCCAAATTCTTGCATGGCCAAGATTCTTAAACAAAATGGCAAAGCAGGGCCAGGGAGATAGCTCAGTAGAATAAGTGCTTGCCTGGCAAGCACAGGATCTTGAGTTCAATCCCCGGTACCAGAGGAAAAAAAAAAAAAAAAAAAAAAAAGGCAAAGCATCTGCATACATCTTACATCTTCCAGTACACTTTAAACCACCTCTACATTACTTATTTTACCTAATGTATATGCCACATATATAGTTGGTACACTGTATTATTCAAAGAATAATGCCAACAAAAAGTCTGTACAGGTTCAGATCCAATTCCATCTGCAGTTGGTAGAATCTATAATGTAGAATCTACTTCACAAAACTAGGCAGCTGTTTACCCATCAGCTAGGCAGTCAAGTCTTCAAAGAAGTAGCTGCCTACTTCAGGTAAGAATGGAACTTTGGGCTGTGGGGAGTGCAGTAGCCAAAATCTTACCACCAACCAAATCACTAACCAAAGCATAGTGGGACCCAAGGAGGAAGGCAAGTGAACCATTCATTCTGGATCTTGTTGAGGACACTTAATTGTGAGAAAGAAGTTAGAAATGCTTTCACTGCCAGCCTGTGACTGCTTTCCAACCCTCTCAACACTGAGTCAAGAGCAGCCTCTCCCTGGCAACTTCCAAGGGCAATGAGCAACCACAAGAAGCCTAGAGCGGCCAAGGGAGTGCAGGAAGGGAGGTGCAGGAGGATGAGGCTAGCCAACTGGATCAATGGGTCAGGGGTGGTGTCAGAAAAGCAGGTTATGGGTAGCTCTTGGCAAACACAGAATGCTGTCTTAGGCTGTGGGTAACTCCTAGGAAACACAGAATGCTGTCTTACTCCCTGCTGTTCATCCCCCAAATGCCAGGCAGAAGGTAGAACCTAGAAAAGGGCACGCAGTTGGCTTAGCAATGCATGGGAAAATCAGGGTTCAGGTGCGTCAAGAGTGAATGTCTAGAACCACATTTTCTAGAAGCTATTTTCTAGACAAGACAAAAGCTGAGTTCACTTTCAAGTGAAGGACAGGACTAACTGGGTTTCGCTCTTCGTATTAGCTCTCAGTAGTTTGAATTTACCAATAAGAAAGCCTTAATTCAGACTTTACAGAATCCCTAAGGGTGGAAATGAGTTGATTTCATATTATTGATGGGACTGGGCAGAAATAGACACTGGGGTAAAGGCCAAAGAGCAAGAGGCAGGGAGTAGTTTTAAAATTCAATGAGGATTTTTAAAGAACATCCAATTCCAGCTCTCCTAACTGACCCTTCAGCTTCACAGAGAAACTGTAGGCACTATAGTCCTCAGCATGAGGCACAGTGTTGGATTCAGAACTGGTCCTGACTGTCAGCACCAAAAGCCGACTCAGGCAGCTTTGTACACACTCCAAATGATTAACAGGTGAGGCAACATGGAATTAGAATTCTAACAGGGAGGGCTGGGGAGATAGTTCAGTAAAATAAGGGCTTGCCTGGCAAGTGCAAGGTCCTGAGTTCAATCCCCAATATCACAAAAAA